GTGTGTGTGTGTGTGTGTGTGTGTGTGTGTATGACCATTTGCATGTTCAAATCTGTCTCTGCGACTGCTGTGGTTGTGAACACACCCACACACACACACACACACACACACACACCCACACACACACACACACACACACACACACACACACACACACACACACGCGCGCACACAAAAATCATATTTTTGGGAAAGGCGCGGGCGTGTGCATACTTTGTTGAGCCCTGTTTCTAATTTACATGAAATAGTGATCTGAAAATGTGAGACATTTTGATGTTAGCAAATCTACAAATCCATTCTCTGGCATTTGCAAGTTTGTTTGCTACGTATCCCTTCTTTGACCTGATCTGTTTTTAATCAAAACGATTTCATGCAACCCATAGAAATGTGTTGTGCTACAACAGTCTGCTATGTGGAATGATGTTCCTACTACACTTCTTTCAAGATAATACCTAATAATGCAAACGTGAATTGTGCTTTCAACGCCTTTAAACGACATGCAACTTGACAAAATACACCAACTAACGTGAGCCACTGATTGCAACTAAGAATTGCCAACATACTAAATGCATAACACGCAGCTATTGTCACATTTTCAACAAATTATAAGCTTCATAGCATAATAGGGAGTCATTTTTCACTTCCTGCTTACTCAAACAAATATGACTTAAGTATTTGAAATTTTAATCGGAATCACAGTTTTGACTGCGACGATGAAATTATCCATGTTTCATTTTGCTCCGAAAACAGTTTGAAGAATGTAGATTGAAAAGTAGTGCAATAAAAATACAGATGTTCTCCCTGTTATGATCAATAATTGTGAATAATAATCATGATTACAACTGTGATCATCTTTTTGGCCATTACCATTTAGCCCGACGATCGGCCAATGACATATATTGATGTTGCAAAAAAGAATGAGCTCTAATTTACTGAACTACGGGTGAGTCTGATCATTCTCAGAACTCCGAATATTGCTTTTGTGCCAAGTTTAAAAATGTACAAAAAGCTGACTGTTTAAAGGGAGAGATCTTGATGTTGCAAAAAAAGAATGAGCTCTAATTTACTGAACTGCGGGTGAGTCTGATCATTCTCAGAACTCCGAATATTGCTTTTGTGCCAAGTTTAAAAATGTACAAAAAGCTGACTGTTTAAAGGGAGAACATTCATTATTGCTGAGCACTGTAGCCTCTCTCTGCTTGCAAATGTGTCTCAATAAGCTTATGCCTCCCCAACCCTGTACCGTAGGAGTACCAGAAATGAACATAAAAGCAAACGGGGGAGTAACAAATGAAATTATATTCAGCTTTTCAGTCCAATTCCATCTATCGAGGCCTCCCGGATCAAGTTCTTGTACAAATAGCAGTCCATTTGCGCAAAAGTGTGTGGTTAACAATAGGGAGGCACGGGTGTGTGTGTGTGTGTGTGTGTGTGTGTGTGTGTGCGCGCGCGTTTCCAGCTACAGCATAGGACCCCCGCTAATTTAAAGGATGGTGCATGAGCGCATTCTAGTGGTGAGATGGAAGATGACAACCTAGTCCAGTATAAGGTACTTTGACCCTGCATTTGGTTCTTCCTTAATCGCTCGGTATTGATTGAGATCCTTCACTGAAAGAGGTTAAGACATAAAAAAAGAAAAAAAAACATATTTTTATTTTTCACTTATGAAGCGTTCGGTGAATGTGCATATGAACTGGTTGGACCTTTAACAAGGTGAAGAACCACTGATCTTTTGTTTTGCATGTGTCGTCCTGCAGTGTGCATTCTCTCCTTGGTGTGTGTTTGTCTTGATTGAGTGAATTCGGACCAGGTGTTGCCTGTTCAGCGCCGCCCGATTGCTGCTACTTATTTGTCATCTGTTTGCCTCTTTGTTTAGGGGTGGTAGGGTTTGAATTAGTGCTTTTAGTTTGTTGTCCCTTTGAAGTCAATAAAAGTGCTCCCCATGAACTTAATCCACCTGATGTTTCTAGCCTTTTGGGGAGTGGGGAGACGGAGGGTTCACCGTGGCATGTTGAGACATATTCTCCAGTGTGCTTCAGTCAGAGAAGGTGTGCTGCTACGTTTTTTGAGGGTAGTGCAGATTCCCCCTTTGACTTAACTGTGTCAGTTATGCACCTTGATGAAATGTAAGCCCTCTGGGTGGAGCGACACACTTTCAAGAATCAAATAGTCTTTCATACTTGCAATACCTGCACTCACCACTTGATGACAGTACTGTAATGCTCTACTGCAGGGGTCTCAAACTCAGGTCCTGGAAGGCCGCTGTCCTGCATGTTGTCCAAGTCTCCTTGTTGCAACACACCTGATTGAAATGATCAGGTTCAATGTCAGGCTTCCACAGAGCTTGCTGATCTGATCATTTGAATCAGGTGTGTTGCAACAGGGAGACTTGGAAAACATGCAGGACAGTGGCCCTCCAGGACCGGAGTTTGAGACCCCTGCTCTACTGACACAGTTTACTATGTATGTATTGAATATTTCATGTCTGGCAGTGGTCTTCAAGAATGTGAATAGTGTTGCTTTATTATAGCTATTTATTTTTACTATACAATTCCATTCTTTTCACTGATGTAAATTAATTTCTAGATTATGTAGTACATTCATGTGAACTTTTAGCTCTTCGGGGAAAAAAAACAAAACGTATCTCTAAACCAGCACCCCAGGACCAAATGTGCAGAAGGCTGCGCTCAATTAACTGTACTCGATCTTTCAGACAATAGCTTTTTTTTTTTTTTTTTGCTCCCCAAAAAAGGCCTTCCTTAAAAATAGCAAACACGAACGAGATTACTTTGTCATGTTGTCCGCCAAACTACTTTTGCATGCAGTTGTTCATTGTTATACTGTAGCACCACTTTACAAAGCAAGACACTTCCTTTCTAAAGCAAACCTCCCGAATATTTCTTGAGGGCTCGGGTGTGTTCTGTTTGGTCTACTTACCGGTAAGTTTTCATTTGTTCTCCCTTTTATCGCTTCTTTGCACTGAAACAAAATGTTGAAGGCATTCGAGTACAAACCGTCTCTCCAAGTCTGCAAAATGGAGATAACTAAAGTGCTGCCGACGACAAGTTTGTTCTTGGCAAGAAAATGATGCCCAAAGCATGCAATTCCGCACCGCTTCCGCTAGAGAACGCCGTTTCACACAACATACAGGCTGTATTTTGTTTTAATTTGGGGGTACAATTAATATGAGTGGTTTGCATGAAATATCGACTTGTTTGCTTCTTGGAAGTTAATACGAATCTCAAACTAACTGTGCATCGAACATATCTGTGTTAATTTGTGCCTATAGTAGGCAAGGTATTTTTAGGCCTACTACGTTGTATTTGATTCTAAATACAATACATCTTTGTGAGTGTGAGATGAAAAAAGCTCGGATGAATAAATGGCAATTAGTCCGATCAGAGAAGACGAAGAGCAAGGAAGCGACTCAAAAGAAAACCTGCTTGGCGGCTTATCTCACACCACTTTTGACTTGCAAAGAAGCATGCAGGGGCTGTCTAGGAAGATTTTCTCGGTCAAAATGATAGCCAAGACCCTGAAAAATGGGTTTTACTCCTTACTGATCTGCTTTGCTATCATGTTTGGCACTCTTGTTCTTCAACAAATCTAGCAAGTTGTTTTTTTTTTTTTTTTTTTACCGAGTCAGTCTCATCACTTTTTGTTTTTGTGTCGCCTTTTTTTTTAAAGCACCACATATGAACATTTATAATTGAGCAGTGAGCCAAATAAACCCAATTTGCTAGAAGCTCTGGCCTCCACTTCTCATTCTCTAATGTCACAGGCGGTGCCGGTGGAGCTTGACAAAGTCACAAGCAAATCTGTCGATGAATTATTGACAAGTGGGTGTGTTACCGCACGACGCCCGGGAGCCTCTCCAATAACAGCTGTCACGCAGCGTGACAGCTGCCAGCACAAGGCTGAAACAGCGTCTCGCAGCCCTCTTCCTTCCCAGCCCCCTCTTTTCATTGGTTGACCTACTACAGTTACCATGGGAACCGATGTGGAGGAACTGCCATGCGAGATTTGCTCTAGAATTTTTGAATTGTACAAAGACACACGTCGGCTCTTACTTATGGGGAAGGTAACCCCGACATATACTGAGATATTGTTTTCAATTGCATGACAGCCTTTATATGTACCTGTAAATCCAGTAAATTAAAACCTTTCTTTTCTCATGCGCCGATGCATGAAATCTGGCTTGCTTTTAATCATTTGAATCAGATTTTCCCATGCTTTTGTGTCTTAATATTGTTTTGTTTCTTTTTGTGTCATGCTTTGAATGTTTTCTGCCAAGCACTTTGAGTTGTCTGGTGCATGAAGCGTGCTATACAAATAAACGTGCTTTGCCTTGCCTTTACTGTCGTCTCTGTGTCCGTATTTTTAATTAGATTTTTTTTCCCCGACAGTATCTCATATTTGCCACCTTTGACCATCGCAAGCTTAAGTGTTAGCGCTCAAAGGTTTGGGGCCCAAACAAAACCCCAGAACGAGAACGCATGCTAGCCTAGAACGGCGGGATGCGGCTGGGGTGCAAGCACGTCACACGTATCGTCACTCCAGCTTTGAGCTGATGGGCCTTCTCCAAGTGAGTGTTATGTGTCTTACGTAAGCCTTTTTACATAAACAGTGTGCCGAAACAGAGAGGGAGTGAGGGAGGGAGGCAGAGAGGGACGGATTGCTGCGGCATTACAAAAGGGATTTGCACTGCACCAATTCTTCCTCCTGCCGTTCCTACGCCACAACAAGAGAGGAACTTTTTAACACTAGCACCCGCCATTGGATCCATATTCATGAGTCACATGGTCAATAGGCACATCAATCTGCCGTTTAGACTTTCGTTGGCGTGATCATTTATAAAGCATTGTGAAGCAAATGTTGGCAAATCGAGCAGGAAGTGTGAGGCCACGACGTGACCTGGGGATCCGTGAACAAATGCCCGCAGAGGTTTTTGCCACTACAGGAAACGAGGAGACCCTGACAGAAACAAGGAGAAACGTGCATTCCGACAAACACATTTATTTGTTAAATATAGAACACGGAAAGGTTTCAGGCCGCTGCCTGACGGATGGTCCAACAGAATAAAGCAGAAACTAATAGTCCTTTTCATTGCAGCAGATGATCGCACAATAGTAACAAAAGAGGACAGAAAGGCAGATAATGCCGTGGAATTGACTTGTTTTCACATATTTCATACGGATTATGGTGCAAACGGTCTGAGAAGCATAACATTAGAACACAACAAAATCGCTTAACGTACAGACTGAATAGTAATTGCTCATTTTGAAGAAACAGTTGCTGTGGCCTTTATGGAGGGAAATTCAATATTTTGCCTCCTTTGAGCATAAATAATGGAGCTTAACGTAAATTTAAATATTAAAAAAAAACACAAAAAAACTACCAGGCAACTGGCATTATCCAAACTGTCACCACCCTTTCCCAACAAGTCTCTCACACACACACACATGCGCGCGTCGTGGATCAATAATCGCAAGTGTGACGGAAGGGTTATCATGACCGGGAAAGACCACTTTGTGGTTTGGAGCAGAGAAACTGCGCACAGTCCAAAATGGCTTTGCATATAAAAAGTCCCCTCTGTTTGACGGAGGGCTGAGAAAATACCTGATCTGTGTCACCATTAAAATACATTTTGGGGCTCTTCATGTTTGGAACAAGATTGCTGATTGGCAGGCGTTACAGGCTGGGTTTAAAAACTGTACAGTCATCTGCTTTGCTCCTGTAAAATCCTGCAGACACACACAAAAATAGAGACTAATCCTTGATCTACAAAGATGTCAAGCTACATTCACTTTTCATACACAGCTGAAATCGCGAGCCCCTCATTTCCACCATGTTTACTTTTTTTCAGCACGACACCACCGCTTTTCAATCAGCGAAATGGTCACATCAATCTTCATTGGAAATCCTGATGGAATTTCACGGTTGCATTTTCGGGAGTGGGAGGCAGGCATAGTCTGGAAGAAATCATTCTCCTCTTTAAACCATTCAAAGGAGTCTCTGCGCGTTTCTTAAACTGCAAAGAACAGATTAGAAAACTGGAGCAGCCATAGTTTGAATCAGTGCAGTGGGAGGAAGCAGATAAAAAAGTCGTTTGAAAGAAAAGCACGACGTAGAGATATGTTCTTTTTGCACGTATTCTTAGAAAAGGAAAGCCATCCATTGGAGCTGCTATTACAAATTTTGCCGTGTGTGTATTTGTGTGTGCGTGTGAGTGTGTGTGTGCGCGCGTGTGTTCCCTGACATTTGTGCTATTCAGCCCTGAATGCAGAGCGAGTAAAGTATAATACCAGTTTTAATGCATTATGATTTCCATATCCGATTGAATATTGTGACCCCCCCCCAAAAAAAAGACACAGTAACCCTTTTTGCAAAAAAGATTTGTGTGTCTGAACTTCCCACGATGCCATCAGTTCTCAGGAAAGTTGTAATGCAGAAGTCAAGCTGGAGTCCTCCAAAGCTGAAGTCGTTGCATGCAAAGTGCCAAAGTGTGACCTTTTGTGCCCCATGTATGGCTTGTAAAATAGAGATGACATAAAAAGCCTTCAAATCTCTGTGCTATCTTTTTGTTGTTGCACATGCAAATGTTTATTCAGGGTGCAAATCCATGGTGAAAAAAACCCCAAAAAACATTTCAGTCTGTTTCAAACTATTGGAGGAGTGATACTTTGGCTCTAAAGTGGGACAATTTAAAGGTCGTTTAGATATGGTTGAGATGAGCGATCGTCAAGAGAGAAAATTGATTTCAATGTGTTACTTCATAGAAGATTGGATAAAAAAGTAGCTTATTTTTGCAGTATGTACTCTGGAGATGAAGCTTTGAAATCCTCCAACTCACAGTTAGGCCTTTTTTGCAGGTAGTTGAAAAGTGAACTTTTCCGAGCTCGTGGATTGTCAAGGGTCAACTTCGAAGTTTCAGTGAGCGCTAGAAGACAATCCGGGTTTGTTGGAGTCTCCCAGTGGCTTTTCTCAGGCGAACAAGCCAGCGTCATTCGATTGTAGCCGTTTGAGAAGGAGCGCTCTTAAGATTCAAAAGGAATTCATGGGCTGTTCACTGCACAGCGCCACATTTTTCTTGGCGAAGGAAAGCCTTTGGCTCTGTAAAAACAGCACAGAGGGCTCAGCCTCTCAAGTCCATTGAGGCATGGGAAAAAAGAAGAGCTACTTCTTCGCGACTCCGCTTTTGGGGCCCGGTTTGTTTCCAGAGCGACGCACCGGGACCTTGGAGACGGGAATTCTGGTGCGAGCCGGAGGAGGTCCTTGGATCTTCGGTGGCAATGATTCCGCCTCCAGGACAGATGAGAGTGCTGATTGGCTCACAGACTGCGTCGGCGTCGTTAGTCTGGCGCTGACCGGGATCTTGGATTCCCGGGGAAGGCTGGCGCTGCCTTTCAGCGACCGGAAGGAAGAAGATGAGGAGGAGGAAGGAGGGCTGAGTTTGTATTCGGTTGACAAGGAGGAAGAACTGTTTTGGTCCTCATCGCCCTCCGGTCCATCTGGCTCATTGTAGAGATCATACAGGCGGTCCCCGGAGCAACTGTCACGTGACATATTGTGCTTGTGCCGCTGCCCACTTTCCTCAGGTGTTGCTGTGGGCGTTGCGGAGGGGGTTTCCCAGTATCCTTCGTCGCTGAGCGGCTCTTTGTCTCCAGGCGATGCCGGCTGACGACCGTGTGGTAGGAGGGGTTTGGCCGCTCGACTTCCTGCTCCACCCACTACTGGAATCTTACTGAGCCCCAAAGATTTCACCTGTAGCGTCTTACGATCCGCACATCCGTTGGCTGAGGGTTGGTGGCAGGAGGTGGAGTTGAGGGTGCGAAGTGGGTAGGTGGAGGTGGGCGTGGTGCAGGAGGGTTGGTGCGATCGGGGCAAAGCAGGGGAGTTGTCCCCGGTTGAAGGGAGCATGTGCCAAAGCCCCTGCATGTCAGCATCGTCCACACCCTCCGGACTCGCCATTTCCTCCCCGCCGCCCATGTAGGCTACCACCCCACTGCCCACCGGCGGCATTTGAGGGCTGGGGGGCACCCGGGTGCGAGCGGGAAGCGAAGCCGGCCCAGAAGATGCCGTGAACAGGGGTTGTGTCAGCGCGCAAGAAAGAGGAACTTTTGACGGGGAGCCACGAGTCGTGGAGCAGGTGACTCCAAGCGGCCTCCCGACACCTGATCCCCCGACGCTCGCCACTACCCCGCCGCCGCCGCCGCCACTGCTGCTGCTACTGGTACCGCTGCCCCCATTGCCTGCCGTCTCCTCATCTGCATCGGCAATGATATCCCCGCAGCCGGTGAGGGAATCAAAGCTCTTGAGGGACGTGACGTCATTGAAGAGAAGAGAACACAGGCGGTCCACCGAGGGTTCCGAGGGCGGGTCGCCGGCGCTGCAACACTCCAAATGGGATGTGGCGAGTGAGGGGGTGAGGCTGGAGACCGAGGCTTTGGCTTTGCTGGGGGCAGAGTGCAAAGGGGAGTCGTTGGGTGTGTATGGAGAGGAGGAATCTGGCTCAGCAGATGGGCCGGGCACGGCCGCACAGTGTGCGGGTGTCAAGGAAACGCCGGGCGTGCGAGCCTCAGCCGCTTGGAGATTACGTTCTTCTTCTGTCTTCTCACCATCCTCCTGGCGATAATGTCGTGTTGGTTCAAGGACGAGCGTGACATCCTTTGCCGTTTCGGTGTCTGCGGCACTCGCATCCTTCTCTTTCTGAGCTTCCGACTCTTCCGCGTCTCCTTCGTTTGTTTTGTCCTTGCGTCGCCATCGGATGCTACTGAAAAAGCCCTTCAAGCCCCTCCCTCTGCGCACAAGTCCGGCACTGTTTTCACTTGACCTGAGACTCCCGCGTCGCAGCAGAGAGAAGAAACTTAGCGATTTGCTGAGAGACCTCCCGGTTCCTGTCTCCAGAGCGGACGGCCCCTCCCCTCTCTGTCCATCAGCATCGTGGTTGGACCCGCTGAGCCCATCGTGTGTTTTGCTTCTCACCAGCTCGACGGATAACATCGAACCATTCCCATTCACAGAATTCCCGGTGTCAGAATGTCCATTGGTCCCGCTCAGCGTGGCCCCTTTGTTCTTGAAGGAGAAGAAGCTGGCCATTCCGGAGCCAGTGCGTCGCTTTCCGAAGAGCTTGAAGGCGGCTTTGTTGATCTTCCCAGTGGGCTGGGGGTCACGCGGAGGGGCCGCAGTGGGATCCGCACACTCCGTCTGCAGCTCCATTGTGTGGCTTTATCGCTTCCCGCTCTGTGGTCTCCCACTAGCACTTTGCTACTCCCTTTGGGCTTTCTCCGACTGCACATCCACTCTCCCTCTCTCTCTCCACGCTGCTTCCAACAGCTCTTTCGCTCCCAGTCTGGCTGTCTTTATTGCCTGCTTGCAGCTTTTCTCTCTCTCTCTCTCTCTCTCTCTCTCTCTCTCTCTCTCTCTCTCTCTCTCTCTCTCTCTCTCTCTCTCTCTCTCTCTCTCTCTCTGCCTCTGTGCTGCTCCTCACTGTATCCATGGCAACAGGGTGGGCTAAGCAGCTTTCAACAACGTTGGCAGGGCGCCAGAGTCTGTCCTACACCCCCCCCTTCCCCACTCCACCTTCAGAGTCCCCAGTGCACTGTTGCTCCCCCCCCAAAAAAAACAACTCGTCATTAGTTTTCAAACCTTTCCATCTTTGTTTGTGTCACAGATGCAGACTCTCTCAATATGTTTTTAGTTATATATCATGAGAAAATTCATCCCTTCCCAAAAAATGCAGCTGTGTAATTTTGATGACCACTTTCAGAAATATCCGATTTTAACCGCTACAATCGTAATGACAGATTCCAGTTCAACTTTATTTCATCTTCAGATGTTCATTTGTGAGTTAAATGACCCAACTTGTTTCTGAACGCTTTGATGTAAAATTTTCTCTTTTGTTTGTCCCCTGTGTGTCATCCTTCGAGGTGAGAGGTGCCCAACAAAAAAAAAACAAACATGGAGAACACTGTGTTCATAATATTGCTAGGGTGATGCATCCCCACTATCTGCATTTTCATTTTCGTTTTGAACATAGGATGTAAATGGTTTACGGGTTAGCACTATGGGAAGTAAACAAAATACTGTCTTGCCAAAAAGCCTGAATCAGAGGGTCAAGGCTGAAATACGGTATGAGCAGGCTAAGCCGGGATATGGATTTAGAGACATTTTTCAGCACTGCTGGGCTCAGAGAAAGAGCTCAGACTGACCTCTTGTACAGTTTGAGCAGGCATTCAATATTGACCATATGCTCCTGAACCCTCGTCCACATGGACCCACAGAGGCAAATGTTGGGGAGCATTGCCTCAACAATACATCCAATTCATTTCAAACTGTCACATCCCTGTCTATTTTTTTTTGGGGGGGGGGGGTACTTATGAGCCCATCTATCTCATGTTGACCACAACACAATACGATGGTCGGCAACCTGTGTAGACGATCACCGAAGTCCTCTTTAAATTTGCGAAGCCTGCAGTGTTATGAGCAGAGCTGTGCAATCGTGACTGCCTACCTTGGCAATCATTGAGAGAAATTAAAGTGTTGTTGTTTAGAGCTTCGCTTTTGTCGCCCAGTGTTCTCCTTTCAGGCCTGATCTACTGTGGGTGCTCTTTTTTTTTTTCCCTCCGGTGATTCCACCCAACCCCCCCCCCCCATCTCCCTGATACACCGACCCAATTGTAACCATCCTTCTCCTCCCACCCCTGCTTCTTTTTTTCTCCTCCACCTCCTTTTCCTCTTTTTCCTCCTCCTCTGTCACCATGGGCACCACAGGCTCTCCTCTTCCAGCCCACTGCTATCAAACAATGTCTGCATTCATGCACCCCCACGCATTCAAACACATTTTCCAAGGGCTTCCCCAGAGTGGGGCGAGGAAGCGCATCGCTCTCCACCGGGAGGGGTCATCGGCTACCCACACTGCCGCCTGACCGGTCAGGCACAGAGCTCGAGTGCTGCTTCTCAGGTAGATGTAATGTTTACGATAGCAGAAAGCCCCGCAGCCATGCTGGCACGTCAGCTCAAGGGCTGAGCAGCAGCCGGCTGGTGGATTGATGAGTGATAACATGGTGGAACAAAGCATTCTACTCAGGACTCAGTGTTGTTGCAACTCTACATTTCAACGAAGTATGGCTTGTTTTTACAGATAAACATTCGTTGGAATCCTGTCTTGTGTATTAGGTCACTGTTAAAAATAGAAAACACATTTCCTTTTTTATCACATGAATTGACTTCATTTAGAATGTATTTTGTCACCACACGTATCTTTTTCACCCCAGATCTAGCTGTAAAAGACGAAAGTAGACAGAGTAGACACCGCACCAAAATTTTAACAAACATTCAGGCCGCCAATCTGTCTCGTCGGGTTCCTTTTTCAGCCCCCTGAGTGAAGCTCAGTACGAAGTGGGACACTTGGAGGACACTCAGTCTTGTTTTGTGTTTTCTTAACAGCCTGCCTGGTCTCTTGTTTTTTTTTGGGGGGGTGGGGGGGTGCTGTGCTAAACTTGAAGGGAATGAGAGGAGCTGCTTCAAGTGGCCAGGAATCAAGTCGGCTGTGGTCACTCCCATATCGCCCATTTCTAACTGCGGCCATCTACAAAAATACTAAAAGAAAGAAAAGTCTACCCGTGCGTACAGTTGGAGTTGCGCTGGGCATGAAAATAGGCCCCTTAGTGTTTAGAATCAGCCCCACACATTGATCCCCTTAGGGAGGTGGGGTGCATGAGGCTCAAGATTAAACAAAGCGGTAATACGTATCCTTCAACAATTGTGTGTGTGTGTGTGTGTGTGTGTGTGTGTGTGTGTGTGTGTGTGTGTGTGTGTGTGTGTGTGGGTGTGTGTGGGGGTGTGTGTGTGTGTGTGTGTGTGTGTGTGTGTGTGTGTGTTTGAAACATGGATTAAACCCACTGCCCTCTTTGTAAGCAATGAGAAGTGGTGCTAATTGTTTTTAACACAACTCTAAGAGCAATCCCCTACAACACTTTTGCATTCCAAACAGCTATGTATGATTGTGAAGGTGCAGTAATGTTGTTTCTCCCACGTGTATCAAAGCCAAAATTAGCCTCTGGTAAAACCTGCCCTATATTGGCCAGAATTCCCATCTTCTATTCCTACTGCACCTTTATAGGCGCTACAGAGAAAGGAGTCACAGAAGAGACAAAATCTCCAGCGACATTGTAGCGTGTGTGCTGGCTGTGTTTATGTTAAAGCGTGACTACAATGGTGCCTCCTTGTCCTCAGGAGGGTTCAACCATGCGGCATGACGTGCAGTGCTAGATCTAAATGATTCAGAGCCCACGGAGAAGCTTCTAAATGTTTCATATGAGGTAATGTGGCACAACTAGGCTAGTAGAAGTTCTGGAGGTTCAACATTATTGCCATTCCCTCAGTGATTTTGCTGGCGACACGCTCTTGTCTTGTTTTGCTGCTTCCATTCAAGCAGAAGTCAGGGGGGTTGTCCGAGACACACATCTTTATTGATAGTTGCTGAAGAATGACTCTCTGTATTTGCTCGTCGACACTGACCTGTCTCACAAGGCCCAAGGTCAATTTGTCCGAGTGTGGCGTGTAACAGAATCAAGGAAAACCAAAAAATGCCCTTCTGTCGTCTTTGAAAGATGTCATTAGCTTCTGGAAGTGCACATTCAATGAAGTATTTAGTGGCTGGGTGAGGGAGTGAAATAAATGAATGTGTTGCGTAGTGCTGAGCTGCCTTGAGCACCATTGGGAAGCACCTCACAAATAAACCATGACGACCGGTACTTTAGTTTGAATGGAAGATGGCTGCGAGCATGCCAAGTGTGTTTATCCGGACATCTCTCAGGCTTTGCGATTCGTAATCTGATTGGGGAAGTAAATCCAATTTGGTGACAAATCTGTGAATTGTTTCGCCTCAAGAAGTAGAAGAGCTCTGAAGCACGAAACTTAGTCTGGTGTCACTAAACTGTCAATGAAAACTTCAGGCTTGATGTGATGACGTGAACATTGATTTAATTTTCACTGTGCACACAATCAAAATTGTGCCAGAATTTTCTCAAAATGAATGTATTGTTCAGTGGCTGATACAGGAAGATACGCAGACCCAATAGGTTTTGGCGGACCTTTGTCAGGTGTTGTTGAACTCTCCATCAGATTTGAATACCAGTGACTTCATGTTTTGTCTTGACACTTCAGGTTTCATGACAGCGACACTGTGAGCCTGGAGCAATTGAATTTTACATAAATTCTGGAAAATTCGAGGTCCTCACACTGTTGTTGTTTTTTTTTCCCCATTCAATTATATGCATTACTCAACTGTGTACTCTGATGTAAACGCAACAGCAACCACCAATCAGGGTCACCCATCACCGGCTATTGTCCTGGCAGACAGAACAGAACACCATTGGGGATTTTTAGATCAATTCACATTCGTAAGACCGTTTATCTGATCAATGTGAGATGTAAAATAGGATCAAATGATCAACGGTGGCAACTGTTGACAGCTGAGCCTCTTTGAGCCACAGCTGGCTTATACTCAGCTACCAGGAAGAGGGTGGAATAATGAGCAGGGCCAAATATTCTGGTTTGGTGTTATCTCCAATTTGAGTTAAGATTACACTGGCTGTGAGCCCTCCGTGGGGATGAAAGGACTTGCTTTCCTGTGGGTTTGAATGCAAAAAAAAGGGATTAATGTCAATCTGGTTAATGTGACCTTCGTCATCAAATATCAGGACAGCACGCATGTCCTTCATGCATTTAACCCGTTTTTTTATTTTTGAAATCACTTGTGCTGTCACACATGCACACACACTGACACACATTGTTAAGACTTGAAGTAAAAAAAGAGAACTCATTTTACTGTGGATGAATTTATTCTCAATTACTTCTCTCTAGTGCGTCCCAACATTCATTTAAAAAAAAAAAGAAAAAAAAAAAGCAAATGCATTTCCATCGGTGCAATATATGACACGATAATGAAGCTTCCCATCGAGCCTTAAACTATACAGACACAGAAAATGGCCCATTTAGGACCATTTTGTAATCAGCATGTAATCACATCAAGAACAAGGGCTTCTCCACACACTTTTCAGTAAATTGTTAGATGGCACCTGTCCTTTCCTGACACTGCATGCATTTCTCAGCAGGTCATGCGTGCCACTCCAAACTCCAGACTCACGGCAGACGGCTCCTCTTTGGCCACATCGCTATTATATGTCCCTTCCAGTTCGCCGTAACTCTGCTTGCGGCTCTCGGAGCCACTGCTACCCTCTACCGTCCGCTCGGCGTCCGTGCTCTCGGTGGCCTCCTCGCCGACCTCCTCGTGCTCGTCTTCCTCGTCCTGCCGACGGGCCTCCTTCTGATTGATGGGTGCCCCCAAAATGAGGGAGTCGGGGCGCGGCGGGAGGGGTTTGTCAAGTGAGCGATGATCCCTG